GACACGGGAGGGGGGGAGAGATGGGGTGTTGCATACATTCTACCACATATACATATAACGATCAGAAGACATCCTTGTAGAGTTGGTCCTCCATCTGCCTTAGTGCAGGGATAAAACCTAGGTTAGCAGGTTTGTGTGACAAACAGTTTTTACCTGCTGAGCCATCTCTCTGACCCTACTTTCTTTGTTGGATAAAAGCTGATAATAGCATGCCTCTAAAAATATTTGTTGAGATATAGACTGAAAGAGGAGATTAAGGTGTACAGGTAACCCCACATGCACTCAGTTGATTGGTTATGATACCTGGATGAATAAGCAGGAGGATTTTTTTTTTTTTTTGGATAAATGATACTAGTTCAAGAACATGGGAAAATAGATTTGAATCCCTTATGTAATATACAAATAATTAACTTGAGTTAGAAGAGAGACCTAAATATACAAAATGAAATATTAAAGCTTATAGAAGATTATCTTCATGACTTTATCTCAGACGACTCAAACATTTCTGAAATAAGGAAAGACTTCTGAGGAAGATAAAATAAAGACCAAACCATAAAGGGAAACTGAGCAATTAATATTAATTAAAATAAGTTCAAATGATGACAGTATTGCCAACAGTAGGGATAGAGTCTTGGAACTTCAGCACTCAGGAGGCAGAAGCCAGCCTGGCGGCCTAGCGAGGGGGATATGTCAGGGCAGAGATTTGCAGCATAGGTACCCTGAACAGTGTGAAAATGCTTACAGAAATGTGCACATGGTCAGCTCAACAGTAAAGTAGGCAAAGGGCTTGACTAGGAACTGTCCAAAGTGCTGTGCAAATGACCAGAAAACTGTCCTCCTGTGTCCTCTTAACATGATACTGACCAAGAAACTACCTCACGTGCATCAAGTGATCACTCAGCTGTAGAGAAACTGTCAGAAGACAGTTTCCCTCTCCTGGGTATGAATCCAGTACATTCCAGATGACATATAACAAGTGTGTTTGTGACAGCAGTTTTCAGAATGCCCCAAACAGGAAACCAAGTGTCCATTGAGAGGACAGTGGATTGGTACATTGTAATGTAATATATTCAGTGCATTCTTTTTCCTTTTTTCACTTAAATTAAAACAATCTTATTTTACATATCAATCTCAGTTCCCTCTCCCTCCCACCCCCCACCCCCCACTATCTCCCCCAGTGCATTCTTGATAGCAGTGTTGTTTTGAAAAAAATGCATGTGCATGTGTGTTTGCATGTGTTGGCTGGCGTGTGTGTGTCAGCTGTCTGGCTCAGTCACTCCCCACATTATTTTTTTGAGGCAGGGTCTCTTGTTGAACCTGAAGCTCACTTTATCCACACAGCCATCTGCCCAGCCCCAGTGGTGCCCCTGCACCCTCCCCATTGTTTTCCTGTCCCTGGTGAAGGCCCCAAATGTTTTCCACTGGAATGGAAGTCTTCTATGTTTAGTGTCATGCATGACGTCAGAGTGCTCAGAGCGTCTATCAGGCTCACATGCTTTTGCTGTGACAGATGAGGGTAGATCAGCTCAGCACTTAGAACCAACCACTCCAGCTACATACAGCATGGATCAGACTCAACCAGAGAAAACTGGGAGTCTGTTTTATTCTAGCCATACAAAGTGTAGTGGCAACAAAACTTGCTAATAGGATGTTGGAGGTTGGGGGCTCTGGAAGATGCCGTCCATGGGATAGGAGAGTTTTAGGGTTCTCAATGTTGGCATTACATGAGTCTTATGGTGCTTATACTAGCTGCTCGTTTTGTGAAAAGTTGTTCAACTGTACACTTAGAATTCAGACAGTTTTCTCTCTGTATGTCATACTTGACCACTTGGATTAGCATTTATTATTCACCTGTTTAAATACATACCTTCTGTCTTCATGAAGATAATTAGTGGAGGAAATGAAGTATGTGAAAATTTAGTTAAATATGTGAAATTACAAATTATTCCACAAAAGAAACCTTAACAAGACACAGTGATACAGTTCAGGTGCCCCAAAAAGGAGCTTCCTGGCCTGGAGAGATGGCTTAATGGTTAAGAGCACTGGCTGCTCTTACAGAGGTCCTGAGTTCAATTCCCAACTACCACAACAATCTGTAGTGGGATCTGATGCCCTCTTTGTCATAAAGGCTTACATGAAGATAAGGGTATTCATATGCATAAATAAATAAATCTTAAAAAACTCAAACAAAACATCTGTTAAAAACGGGGGTCGAGGGAAGCTTCTTGGAAGTCAAAAAGGAATTAACAGCAGGAAGCAGAGGCAGGACAGCCCATGTTCAGAAGTTGCTGTGAACAGGGGCATACAGAGATTTAAGTAGATACAGGGCAAAGAGGACGTTGCAGACAGAAAGTATAGTTTGGGAATAAGAGGTATGAAAAGAACGTAAATGGGGTAGACAGTGGTGTTTGCAGTTGCAGCTTGGACAGAGACCAACATGGATAGATTTGTAAGAGGCTTGTCATGATCATGATGAGCAAGGTTTCTTACCTCCAGGCCTGTCTGGTTTAATAGGAAGCACAGATGCATGTTGTCTGCACACCTGTAATCTCTAGCAGTGAGCAGGAGCAGTACAGCTGTGTGAGTTCAAGGACAGCCTGGTTTACATAGTGAGACCCTGTCATAATAAAGCAAGATCTGGAGATGGGGATAAGGAGCTTAGGCAAAGCTCAGGGTGCTACCCAATTTTCATAGCCAAGCAAGAGATTGTTCTCTTCAAGAAATAGTTTCTCTGCATAGCAGTCCTGGCTGTGCTGGAGCTTGCTTTTAAGAACTGTCTGGCTTCAAACTTGCAGAGATTCACCTGTCTCTGCCTCCCAAAAACTGGAGATAAATGTATGCTACCATCACCTGGTATAAATATCTATTAATATATATTTAATGTATATTAAATATAGGTGATATACTTAATATATAGCCTCTTATTATAAGAGGTCTTGTCAGTGGTTAATTATAGTTTAGTTTGATATAGGTTTCATTGTTTCATGTACTTTAGGACAAGTAAGAGAGTATACTTACTACTTACGGGAGAATTTTCACTCTGGAATTGGGGACGGGTGCTGAATGGGACAGCTGTGTTGCCCTTGCTTCACAGTCTTACCTTTGCCAGCTCCCTTGTTTCTTTACCACTTGTTTCATCACTGGCTGCCACATTTCCTTTCCTTCCCTTTCTCTCCCTTCACTTTCGTATCATTCAGTTTTAAAGTGCTCTATGCATTCCGTTTCTTTAATCCCAGCAGAACCTCATGTTTGTGGAAGTGTGTGGGAAGGGACTGAAGATCAGAGGCATATGACTGCTAGACTCCAAGTGCAACGCTGTCCCATTCTATGACTGAGGCCTTCCCCTGTCTCAAATCTATATGTGATATGCTGTTTTAAGTATTTTTCAGCCATATTACGAGTAATGAAAGTGTGTCCTATTGGTTGTTAGAGTCTGCGGAAAGAGTCTTAGAAAGACTGAATTATGTGTGTGTTTATGTTTAATAAATGCACACGTATTTTACTTTAGATGAACTTAATCATATACTAAGAACTTTTTAGAATTATTACTTATGAAAGAAGGGAATGGGGTGCAAAGTTGTGGTTGCAGTTGCAGAGTGGGGAAAGACCAACATGGATAGAGACTTACTGTAGTGTATCTAGGCTGTCATAATTATCCCTGCTTTGCTGTGTCATCTTCATTATGTTAAAAAAAAAAAAAAGAACAAAAAACAAATGCCAGACAGTGGTGGCACACACCTTTAATCCCAGGACAGGACAGGCTTCAAAACTGCAGAGAAACCCTGTCTGGACAAACAAAAAATAACAACAAAAAACCCAGAGAGATATAGGACCTTGATGCGGGTAGTTGAATACGTTGTAATTGTGCTAAGAAAATGGTTCCTCAGATGAAGTGCTTGCTGTGCAGGCATGAGGACCAGATTTCTGCTCTTCATAAAAACTATCAAGAGAGCCAGATGGGTGTGGCAGCCCGCCTGTAGGCTTGCTGCCCCAGTGGTGGAGACAGGCTCTCTGGAGCAAGCTGGCACATTAGACTAGCAAATAAGTGAGTTAGAGATTCAGTGAGAGACTGCCTCATTAAAGATAATAGAGGGCAAGAAAGGAAGACATCTGAAATCAGCCATTGGCCTCTGCACACAATTGTGCGCACACATAGACATAGCACATGTGCATGTACATGTATATGCATGTACATTACACACATACACATGTACACCAAAAGAAAAGGAAATTGTAATGGCCCAAGACCTCATTATAGATACAGAGGTTGCAAAGCTAAAACAATTATTCAGAACTTGGTTTATTTCTCATTGTCGGTTTCCTTCTCTCTAGCTCTTTGTCTCTAATTCGCTGACAATGAGTAAGTATTGGAAAAGTAAGGGGGTACAATTCTGATCATTTGTGGTACTGTGTGGGCCTGAGAGATTAAAAAGATTGTGAAAAATGGAATTGGTGGCCGTTCATGATGGTATATACCTATTGCTGGCTCAGTACAGGAGGTGGAGCCCCACAGGTTAAAGACAAGTGTGGGCTACATAGCAAGATCCTTTCTCAGAAAAATAAGTTGTTATTGTGCTCATTATTCTTGCATGCTAAGAGATGAAACAGTCATTAAGAATGGGCAGCCAGTTATAAAAGAACTGTCTCAATATAGCTTCCAGTAGTCAAACTTTTGTAAATAGTAAACTGGAATAATATGCTACAGTGAACAAAAGAATCTGGACTGCCTGGAGATGAAAAGTCCTTATGTGAATTGAGTTTTTGGAAATGTAAAACAGTAGCTGGGTCAGCACCTCCTGGCATCAGACCCTTCTGCAGGTGGTTATGACTATTAATTCCGGGGGAATGGCAACAACTTGCTTATTCCTTTGGAAGTTTCGGTTATCTTGCCGTCTCCCTAGATGGCAAAGGAGCGTTTGGGGAACAGTGATGCGTTACTGCCCCAGACTCCCGCAAGGCTTCCAGCCCCCAACTCTCCCTCTCCTCTCCATTTTCCGCAGGGCGACTCTCACCAGTTCCGTGTCATGGCAGCTGTGCTTCGCCATTGTTTACTAACCGTAGGCCCGACTGAAGACAAAACAGAAGAGCTACACAGGTGGGTGACCGCTATGGCGATGCCGCAGTGGGGCACATCCCTTGTTCTCCCCACATGTCTAATTTTGATGGTTCATTATGATTACAACAAAGTGAAAATATTATATTGACTCAGTAGGCCAGAGCCATGTCTTTGTGTTACATTTGTATACTGTCCTCTCTGACTGTTCAACATCTGTTGAACTGTAGTCAGCAGTAACCCTCAGAACAACAACATCCTGGTTATTGAATAGTTTCTGTGTTCCATAAGTGTTTTAGAGAGATACTCCCAGACTGGTAATGTTAACCTTTGAGATAGCTTTTTTCTTTGTTTTCCAAAGATAAGAAAACCGAGGTCTCCACATCATTACTACTTCACTATTTCATTTTAAGAGTATTTAACAAAAAAGAATACTCTATACAGTAATAATTAAAATACAAAACAACAAAATAAGGCTGTAACCATGTGTCTTCTATTAAAATATCTTAGGTGAGGCTGAAGAGGGTTGGGTCAGTGGGTGAAAATGCTTGCCCTTTGAGCATAAGGACCTCATACAAAAGTGGGGTGCTGTAACAAGAGCGTTTGTAATCCCAGCACTCTTGTGGGGAAGACAGGTGGAGACAGACAGAGCTCATGGGCTAGCCAGCCTGGTGTGCGCAGCAGGGGAACAGGCCCAGTATCAGATCAGGGTGGAAGGCAGGGACCAACGAGACCTGGGTTTTCTGACTTTCTCATGCGATCAGCCACATTCATACACACAACACTGTTCACACACGCGTGTGCGCACGCGCACACACAGTGAAATTATAGATATATAGAAAATAAAAATAATTCTAATTATCTAACTGGCCTGTTAGAGACATTAATGGAGTATTGCTGGAGTTCATCATTCTCTGGGGCTCATGGTGGACAGCTCAGTAGAGAGAGTATCTACTGTGCACAAGTCCCTGAGTTTAGTTCCCAGAACTGAAAAATAAAAATTGCCATTCTGTGAGAATAGCTAGAGGAGAGTTAGTACAGTTCCCAGTTCTCTTACTGGCTGTAGATTAGGTTCGTTATAAGACTGCTAGTGCTGTATTCTGGAAGACTACAAATGACTGCCAGGCATGGTGCCGCACGCCTTTAGTCCCTGCATATGGGAGGCAGAGGTAGGCTGATCTCTTTGAGTTCAAGGCTTTCCTGGTCTATACAGCAAGTTCCAGGACAGCCAGGACCATGACACAAAGGAACCCCCATCTTGAAGAAACAACAACAACAATAATAAATGCCTCGTGAGATAATTGAGAGCTACAAAAAGAAGGTTGCCATCAACTCTGCTTTATACATAGTCAGCATGAGCTGCTTCTAGTGGGTTACCCTGTGGGCACTTAGACTTTCCCAGGTATAACTTAAATAAAATTTTATGAAAACACAACCATAGAACAAATTACATGCATACTAACTCTCAGGTATTATTTTTCCATCAAACCTGTATTATCTTCATTACATGGAGTAGTGTACTTTGCATCATGCTGGGTTTATAGGTAGATTCTTATTTTTATGTATTCTCTACCCTGTAGCCCTTCAGAAGTTTTCTCTGACTGAAAGGTGTAGGGTGTGAGATGGCTAAGGTGGGTGCATCTACAAAAGCACTTCTCCAGAGTGAGGCCAGTCAGCCTGGGCTATGTGCTGTGATCCCTGACTCCAAGAATTGTGCAAATAGCTCCTCACCACAGATCAGACATTCCCTTCAGTTTTTGGAGATGGTGACCACATATGTGCAATAAGTCACATCCTAAATGCATTAAGCGTTTTTACCCTTCATGATTCTTCCCCCATAATTAAGAGGCACTAATAGTTCAGCATCAAAATTAAAAGTGTTTTTGGCTAAAACACGTAGAAGTGAATTGATTTTCTTGTGTGTTTTTAAACCCAGGCTGAGGGGCACACAGGCTGTAGAGAGAGAATCTGGAGGGCACTGCTGTGCTGGCCCCAGATGCTCTGGCAGGGGTCTCTGAAGAAAGGGTTTAGATCTTAGTGTGGTGCTCGGTGTGTGTCAAGGGAGTGAAACTGCAGGGATTGTTAGATTCTACAAAGTAGTCAGACTTTCTTCCTTCCTTTGGTGATGTGGCCTTTTAAAGTCTCTTCCTTTATGTGAAAAGTTTACCTTGATAAAATGCATTAGCTACACTGAACAGAGTTGAGTCCCGGTCAGGAGTGTGACACTATGAACACAGAGATGTGTCCTGGAACCACAGTCAGCATCATGGGCATTTCTCAGGCTTTCCTGGAGATTGAGGTTGCTGCTGATTTAGCAGTAACCTCGAATGGCCTTGGGTGCCCTTTTAATAGTATCGGTTTGGACAGTGATGGCTCCAGGCTAATCCTCTTTTAAATTCGGAGAACTGTACCAAGGTCAGGAGCTCTTTCCAGAGGTGTTAAATCTGCACCTGTGCAGTGTCCTCATCACAGTACTGTTTAAAACTACACAGGTGCCAGGCGCAGGCTTGGCACATAAGCTGATATTTAAAAATCATGTTTTATTTTTTAGATAATATGTTTAATTTGTTGAGAATTTCATACAATGCATTTTGATCATATTCACTTCTATCCCTGTTATATTTCATTCTTTAAAAGTTATTTTCAAGGTTTTTCCTTTCTTACTCCTTTTTTCAGTGCTTTGGTTTTTTTAAAGGAACACTAGTGTCAGGTGATCTTGGGTAGGGTAATATGTAGGTATGTGAGGGTTACATAAGAATGTGTGAGGCCTTGTGGCCTTGGTACTCAGTGAGCTCCTACAGTAGCCATGTCTGCTGTCTCTTCTATTATTGTAACAAGCAGATTGACTTTTACTGGAGTACTCAACATTTGTAGATTGCTTCCCGAGTTTTTCATATCTCATTTAGAAACTTGTTTTGTATTTATCCTTTGATCATATAAAAATACTTGTTTCTGATATTCTGAATTTTTTTCCCGAAGCCAGAAATTGCATTCATATTAAATGATAAAAATGCTTTAGAAAAGAAAAAAAGAAAGCACCTGGCAAATTTCTGGTCAGTTTCTCTGTAAATCAGTGTCATTGCTTTCTTCAGAGAAATGAAGCTGACATGGTGTGATGTGTGTGTGTGATGACCTCACTCAGAGAGGCAGTGCAGCCTGACCCCCATCCCGATGCTCAGGTTCTAAGTAGTATTCATGTTTCTTTACTTTCGTTTATCCTTACCAGCTAGATTATTAATTGTCTTATCTACCTTGTATTAAAAGATATCCTACTTCTATTTTGTCTGTACTGTTTTCTTGAAAGCATTTTCAGTATTCCCTCCCACAGCTAATAAGCTTAGCCATTAATACTTAGGCCCCCACACTTTGGATATCTGTAATTTATTTTGGAAAGGGAATAGACAAGGACAGCCATGCTGCTGAGGAAGGTGAGACCCAGACACAGCACAGGTCAGCTTGTTTGAGGCACTCAGTTCCAGTTTCTTCTCCACACCAGTGCATCAGTGTGTGCTCGTCCATGTCTTTGAGCCATGCTGAATGAGTGCTGTGTTGTGCATGTTGGGTATCCAGCTTCAGCCACCACTTACTGAAAAGGCCTTGGCACCTACATGTCTGCCTTCGTGCGTGCATGCATGGGAGGGAGGGGAGGAGGGAGAGTATCTCTGGTCTCTGTATTCTTTCTCATTGGTTGGAGTGTCTTTAGGCCATTTGAATATTTTTCTGATGGAAGTAGTGTATTGTTTTCAAACCAGGAAATGCCATCCTCCGAGATTGTTTAGGCTGTTCAGTCTCTTGACATTCCATATGCATTTAAAGATGAGTTTTTCTAGTTCTATAAAAAACATCACTGTGATATTGGTAGGAGTTATCTTGTATTTGGACTATTCAACTCCTAAGAATATTATTTCCTAAATATATATATGTATGTGTGTGTACATACATATATACACACATATGTACATATATATATATATATCACACTTTAAATATTTGAAAATGAGCTGACTTTATTTCCGTTTATATTTATTTTCTAGTGAGCACTTAGCCATGTGTTAAGTACTAATTTGAGCTTCAGGATTCAATAATGATCAAAGCATATAGTCCATTCTCCAAGGCTCACCAATTAGTGGAGAAGTGAGCAAATGAGCCACCCCTCCTCACACACACACCACCATGAGTACCATTTCAGGCATAAACAAGCTTATATGAGAGTATAGACAGGACATTGACTTTGGAGACGTCAGAGAGGGAGGTGTCCGTTGCTCTCTTGGCTCCTTTAGCTCCTCTCTGAGTAAGTTTTCCAGGTCCAGCTGAGTGCTGCTCTGGTGCCCTTAGGATATCATGTCACATGCCCTGATGGAACCAGTACTGACTGAGTGGTCAAGGCACAAATCCTATGAATAGTTAAATTAACAGCTCAAGGAGAGAGTAGAAAGAGACTACAAGATAGTTCTGAGCAGTTTTCAGAGTGACTCCAGCCAGTACCAGTCATGGTCTGAAGTGAGGGTCTTCCTCACAGGTCTGTCCTCTGTCTGTTCTTGGCCACCTCCCACCTCTGGTAACTGGTTTTTCTGTTTTGTTTGAGTGTTGGTTGTCTGTTTGCTTTATTTTGTTTTGTTGAGATGGTTTCTTTGTGGAGCTGTGGCTGTACTAGAACTCACTCTGTAGACCAGAACTCAGACATCTGCCTGTGTCCGCCTCCTGGGTGTCAGTATTAAAGGCATGCACTACCACACCCGGCATTTTCCTCTTCTCTGGAAGACTTCTAGGTTTACTTTCTTGCCTGTCTGCCTCCCAATATATCATTTCAGCCCCTTCTCCCTCATATCTCGAGTCTCAACACATACAACTTCAGATCAGACAGGCAACCTCCACAGCCCTGTGGGAAGTTACCTAACTGCATGCATAGTTGTTCTTCAAAAATCAGATGGCTCCTCCCAGTCACAAGGCTCAAGAAATATTTGTTTTGGTTGTGATGCATACACTTAGGACCTGCAGCCCCATCTGGGGAAATTGTGTCACCTGATCAGTTCCCTCTTTCT